CCTTTTCATTGCTGTGAGTCATGAAGGCATCCTTAGGCAATAGATCCTCCCAAGATTTTAGTGCTCCTCAGGCTGGCCCTTTACAAGGTGTCAAGCATCTTCCTTGTGCAACCTTTACCCTGTCCTATCCTGCCCAAGCTCTATGAGTAATGATAAAACCCAGCACAGGGGCCAGCCACTGTTTGCTTGGATTTTCAACAAGACTGAGCCTGGGGAGAAGGGCCCCAGCACAGGTTCTGACCAAGGTGTCAGTTTGGAGCCTGCCAAAGCAAGGGGAGAGCAGTGGTTTGCAGCTCAGCTCAGTGGGAAGGAGATGGGAACCAGGAAAAGGGGAAAGGGTGGCTGGAGGGCACATGGAGATGGAAGGGGAGAGAGGCACTGCTGTTCATTCCTAGTTGGCCACTGAAGCACTGCCCTCACGCTATGCAGGCTGTCCTGGTTTGAGTTATGGGGTTATTTATTCCTCCTACACCCTGATCCAATGGAAGGGGGATGTCTCCTTCCCTGTGCTCAGTGGAGAGGAAGTGAGGCATGGGAAGGCTGAGGATCTCAGGGAGCAACAGCCCAGGCAACCCCAGCAGCTCAGATTGCTCATGGCTTGGGCAACCCTTTTGGAACTATAGGGCTGCTCTAGAGATCTTGGGGCCTTTTGCAAATTTTGTGGTAAGAGCAGAAATGTGAGCAGTCACTGAAGTCCCCTGGTGATGGTTGCAGTGGCTTTCCCAAATGATAACTGTATTCAGGGGATGGAATTCCTGGGATTCATCCTGGAGTGTGGGCTCTTGTGACACATCAGCTGCCCAATCCAGCCGTGGTGCCTGTCCCTGTTGCTGTCCTACCCTGTTGTGACCATCTGCCAAAGCAGAGCAGGTGGGACAGAAGGGAAGGCACCTGATGCCTCTCTTGCTGTAGTTCACACTCCACATTTCCACCAAACTGGTCCCTGAAGTGGTCTGCACCAAGATGCCTGGAGCACAGTCCTGCCCAGTAGCGGTGTGGACACAGGTTCTGCACAGTCTGATCTGTCTGGGAGCTGTAGCTCCAGGGAGGGTGTGGGACTGAGTTGAAAAGCAGGGCAGTGACTCTGTAGATGGATGTAGCTATTTTTATAGTGCATGTGAGCTGGAGCTCTTTACATTTCCCTTCCAAATGGTGCCCTGCAGTGCCCATGGGACATCCCCTGGAGAAGCTGACTCTGCTGAACGCAGGGCTCTGGTGGGCAGGTGGGAATAGGCAGAGCATGGTTTGTTCTGTGTGCTGGGCAGGCTGTGCCAGCTTCCCTGAAGGAATGGCTTTCAGCCACTGTCAGTCCAAATGAGCATGCTCTTGCCTTGATTTGTCTGGAATTTGTCAAGGGAGCCAAAGCCCAGCATTGCTGAGAGAGAACATTTTTATTTCCATTTTGAAGCATCATCACTTTCAGTTTTATCTTATAAAACTGTTCCTTTCCTCTGACCTTGAGGTTGCATGGTATGATAAGGCTGCATCCATACTGTTACACTTTTACCTTTAAAAGGAATGTGTACATCCAGTTTGCTGCTGGGGGTGGCCCCTGTGTTGGGTTAAGTCCTGAATCCACCCCAGGAATTGCTTGGGCAGAGCTGTGGCCAAATTTGTGTCTAGGGCTGTCCCACCAAGACAAGCGTGCAGACAACTGGGCACCAGTGTTTGTATATTGCATTCACACAGATGGGGCCTTTGTGTCCCTCTTTGGGACCAGGCACGCTGCCACCATGCACGGATCTTCTCTGGCAGCTCAGGGTCAAGGATTTGCCTTTATGGAAATTCAAGTGGGAAAGTTTCTCACTTTCACTTCTCCATGGCTTTTATCTTCATAAATGAGAACACTCAGACATAGAGGAAATAAATAGAAAAGTGTAGGTAGTGGGAGGAAAGGCAGCAGGGTTTAAAAAGGAACAACAAAACGTTGATAGCAGGGTTGTAGTTCCAGTTTGAGGCTGAGGTTCCAGCTGAGAAATGCTCTGCACAGGCAGAACAACGTGTGTCCCTTGAAGGAGCTCAGCATGGATAAAGGGGGGATCTTTCCAGCCCAGATCCAATGACATGACCAAGCCCCCCATTCACAGGCAACCTCCTTCAAGTCAGCTTCAATCCTCTGAGGAAAAATTTTCTCTGCCTCTTCAGTGTAGAAATGGTGCCATCCCCTGCCTAAGCAACTTCAGAGACCTTTTTTAATCATACCCCGTGTGGTGAGGGAGAGAACAAAAAACACTGCTACAGTGTAGTACCAGATTCCTGAAGGGCAAAGGGGTCCAGGAATGCTGGTCATTCTTCAGGGAGGAAATCCTAAAAGTGCAGGAGCATGCTGTCCCCATGTGACAAAGATGAGCTGGTGGAGGAGAAGACTGTCCTGCCTGAAAAGATAGCTTTGGCTGGAACTCAGGGGAAAAAAAGAGTTTACCAGCTTGGGAAGAAGGGGTAGGCAACTCAGGAGGACTACAAGGATGTTGTGAGGTTATGCAGGGAGAAAATTACAAGGGCCAAAGCCCAACTAGAAATTAATCTGGCTACTGCTGTAATAGACAATACAAAATGTTTCTGTAAATATATTCACAACAAAAAGAGGGCTAAGGAGAATCTCTTGTCCTTTATTGGATCCAGGGGACATGTAGGGGCAAAGGCTGAGGTACTTAATGCCTTCCTTACCTCAGTTTTTAAGTCTTTTAAGACCAGTTGTTCTCCAGACAGCCAGGCCCTGAGCTGGAAAACAGAGGAGCAGAATGAAGCCCCCCCAAATCCAAGGGGAAATGGTCAGTGATCGTGATCTGCTACACCATTTAGACAAATAGGAGTCTCTGGGGCTGGATGGGATCGCTGCCCCTGGAGGTATTTAAAAGATGTGTAAATGTGGCACTTGGAGACATGGGTTAGTGCTGGGCTTGGCAGTGCTGGGTTAAAGGTTGGACTTGATGACCTTAAGGGTTTTTTTCAACCTAAATGATTCTATGATTCTAATTTAGGAGAACAAGCTCACTTTGTTTAGATAACAGGTAAAGCTGCAGCCCCTTTTGCCAGCCTGGATGCTGCTGTGTAGGTAAAAATCTGTTTACATGATTTAAACAACCCAGGCATTTGTCACCCTTGACAAATCTCCCTGATATCTCCATAGCAATCTGCTCTAGCTGGAAAGGATGCACTTTTCCCTGACTGCTCCAAGCCTGTGCTGTTCCATAGGAGTGCTTTTGGCTTGCATCCCCAACCTAAATGTGTTCTCTATGAAACGAAATTTTTGACTCTGCACGGTCACAGGAGACAAACGCCAGTTAACTGAGTCGCCAGATAGGAAAAAGTCAAGCAGATTGGACCTCTAGAGGCTTCCAGCATTAGGCACGGGAAGGGATGAGACAAGCCTCTGTTCCTAGCTGTATTTTCCGCAGTGGCGGATGGCAGCTGCTGGCTTAACCCGCTCAGTGCCCGAGGGTGTGCTGTGGGCAGCGGCGGTGCCTCCAGCGCTCCGGGGATGCGATGGGCGGCTGAGGAGCCCGGGATGCTGCAGGCAGCAGGGCAGGGCTGTGCTGAGGTACCCACCCTGCCAGAGCCACCAGCGCTCAGCTAAGGACCTGGGAGCAAAGCTGAGATGGGCACTGACGGAATGCCTCTGCTCATCCTGGGCTCCGGAGCCAGCAGGGAGGGATGGGCATCAGTTAGAAAAGAATAAGGTCAGGTTGGGAAAGATGCCAGGGAGAGCGGTGGTTAGGCAAAACCCGTGGGTTTTTGCAGGTTTTGTGGCACCTCCAGGCAGAAAGCAGGAGCTGCATCCCGCCCATCCTGAGCCCCAGCTGGGAACAGCTCAGGGTTTAACCAGGCAGCACCAAGGCTTGCAGAGCCATCTACTGACAGAGCGATGCAGCTCAAGGAGGGACTTATTTATTTATCTATTTTCTCTCTCCTGTAGGTTTTTTTCAGCTTTGTCCATGCAGTTGAGGGTTTTTTTTGCAATACAGCCCATGGGCAGCATGGGTGTGACAGTGTGGTCTGGCTCCTGCACACAGCTCAGCCACAGGAACTGTTCTACTCTGCCAACTTGATACCTCCTCCTCTCTCTAAGAAATGTTCCAACATTGCCCCATCTTTAGCTATGGATCTGTTGTGCAGGACAGAGAAGGAAGAAATGAAACGTAATTTGAAGTATCCTTGGAAGCCAGGGGACAGATCCTCCCCTCGAACAGGAGCTCTGCTTGGAACCACAGCACTGTGAAATAATAGATAATGTGAACACAGGCCTGGAAGTTGCTGGAGGACACAGCAGCATCTGGAGCAAGAGGGACAGGCTGAAGAGAGCTGTGCTGAGGCCACAGGGCTGCAGTCCCTCAGTTACCAATGAGGCAGGGGCACATCTGCTCTAACAAAGTTTCTTTCCATGCCTTTTCTCGGGGCAGTTTTATCTGCTGTAAATTACAAAGCCCCAGCACTTTTATTTTGCATCAGATCATACGGATGGCTGCCTTCTCTCTGATAGCAGCAGAAACAAACCTCTTCTGCCTGACCTGGGTCTGCAAAACAGATTGTGTGCTTATTCCAGGACAATGCCCACTTCTTTACTTGTGTGCAAACAGCAGACTTCAGAAGGAGCATAATTCTCCTTTGCAAAATGCTCTGTGCCTTTGGGGTAGAAATGCGCCTTTCCTTTGAAACTATAAACAAGTGCTGTGATTCTTGGGTTTGCAGGGTGGATGCTTCACAGAAGCTAGAAAGGGCTGCTTCTGTAGCAAAATGTGGACATTAGGATGGAGTCTGAGAGGATCATAGAATGGTTTGGGTTGGAAGGAATCTTTAAAGATCACTTTATTCCAACCACCCTGCC